TTAGTCAGGTAGATGGATAAAAACCAAACCCCACTTTTTTTTTTTACATTCCCAATAATCTGTATTGTTTCCTGCAATACCTCACTAAATCTAAATTGCTTATTGTTTGACTTTCATGCCCTATTTTACAGGGAACTCCGTTCTTGTGTAAACTTGTTTGACTTTCATTTGAATCAAGCACCTACAGAACAGTGGAGAAGTGCTTCAGCTGGTACTGTTTTAGAATTTTTCTTTTTGCAGTGTATTTTAGTTTGCAGTGGTTAAAAGCCATTCTTTGCTGCTGATCAATTCAAAACGAATGTGTTTCTAAGATTAGGCAAATCCTTGATGGCATGTTTCTCTTTTTTTTTTCCATGTTTGGCCACTGTGGTTTTATAGGTTTGCAAATGTGCCAAATGTTATATTTATCAGGTGCTTGCAGACTTTGTATAAGGAGTGTTCCAAGAAAACAATTCACAGGGCGGTGCTATATAAAGTGATGCCAGTCAGCATATGATATGTTGTGTGTGTTTTGCCAACATCACTGGGGTCTTGGACAGCCTGTACTGCAGAGGACATTGATGTATATTAATAATAACTATGTTTACACTTGTATAGCGCTCTCTGGGCACTCCACTCAACGTGCTGTACAGGGGACTGACTCATCTGCAGTACCGCCGGTGTGCAGCCACATCTGGATGATGATGATGATGATGATGATATTGTGGAGGGATACCCCCCGTTTTAATTCACTGGGGAGGATGCAGGAGCGTCACTTGCCAGTATAAGTTGATATTGCTTGGAGAAAACAAGCACATGGTGATGAGCTGCGGTATCCGTATGTGTGCGTTTTATTTAAATCGAAATATTGATAATTTCAAGACTTGGTGACCTTGACAGAATGTTTTCTTTCACAGTCTTTTTCTGGATCCTTGGAAAGCTGCATCTTTCACAGGTTTTTTTTTTTTTTAAATGAGCGATCAACCTCACAGAAGTAGACCCTTTTTGCTGTAGTGCTCTATGTGCTTTTAAATCCTGGAACGTTGGTGACACTTTAGGTGCTAATGTTTGGTTTCTTGGTAAGGATGTGCTGGTAATACTTGATAGCCAACATAATGTTATGGACTCAGTTTCAACACGGTCGGGGCCGCTGACTACATATAATCTCCATCCCTTTGTGAGGAAAAACTGACACCTGTTCTCACTCCTGAGCTACACTCTACTGCCTCTCATTGAGGCTCCCCATCCGTGTCCTTGGGCCCTTGTCATCGTCGATCCACGAGTATTAATTTTGGGATTTTGCATGTTTGTCCCACATGCGTGTGTAATCTCTTTGGTGTGAGAGTGCAGGGGTTTAAATTCCGTTAGCCTGACTGGCTATCCCATGCCTTTCAGACTAGGAATTAATTTAGTTACTCTTCTTTGAAGTTCTGTCCTGGCAACCACATCTTTTTTTAAAACATGGTGACCAATAATGCAAAAATGATCTGACAGATGCTTGGTGTAATTGTATCCTACTCTCCCATGACTTTAACTCTTTTCACTTCGTTGTGTCCAAGTTTGTGTTGGCCATATTGAGTAGAGGACACCTGAGTCAGCGTTATTACCTGAATTCTTTTGACAGGGTTATATATTTAATCTTTTTTAAAACTATGAATCCTTTTTATTACCAGCAGGCCTCTTGTGAAGACAGAATAAATTATCCGTTTCCTTTGTAACATTGTTTTGATGTTCTGGTCAAGTGCAAGATTTGAACAATTTTCACTTAGTCTTAATGTTTGAAACAACTAAATCAAGAATTAGAAAAGGGACACCGAAAGGCATTATGGAACTTTATTTGCAAGTGAGGTATTTTAACTTGATTTCTAAGAAGAAAGTTCTCTACAATTGTGCAAGAATATGTGATGCTGTTAAGATCACACTGTATTTAGTACAGTATTATGGCATAAAATGCAACAGGGCTCTATGTAAACAAAGGATTATTTATAGGACTCCAGATCACCCACTTTGAAAGCACTGGTCTGTATCTCATGCAGAGCTTGTTACCAGAAAACCTTTTCAGTCTGTTAATCACTGAGAGAGGCTTCTTGTTTTGGCTACAATCTTGATGTTACCATTATTTTCCAGCCTAGATAGATACTTTATTGATCCCGTGAGGGAAATTGCAGAATTGAACAGACACACTCTGTGCCGCATTTGAATGACAAAATCTCAAAGTTTTAAAACTAGTAAAGGCAGGTCCCAGAATGAGACTGTTAAAACTTCATTGGTGGCTTTGTTGCCAGTTTTCCTTCAGTTTATTTTGATAAAGAAACATTTTGTTTTTAATTGCAGCTAGGAATTTGGTAGAGGGGGTTAATTGTAAAATGTTATACCACTTTTTTGAAAACTGCTTATGTTTGGTAGTTTTTTTCCTGTTTTTATCTACTTTTATGTAAATAGTATCTTTTTAGGTGTGGTGCCTTTGCGTGGTTTGGAAAGAAGACAAGAGTCAGAATGCCCCTACATTATCATTTGACATGCCGGATTAAGGCACTAACATAATTTTAAAAACCCTTCTCTTTTAGCCTCAAAATATTATAGGATAAGAATGTTTAAAATGGCATGCGCAAGAAACTTTGCATAAGTGTTTTTCAGGTTTTATTTTCGACAATTCATAGTATTTTCTCTTCAGTATTAGCACTGTTACTGCTTGATGTGCAATGTTTTTTTATATTCTGTTTAGCACGTGTGGAAGCATGCGAGTTTGATGCTGGATTTCTTTATTGGTTACCCCTCTGTTACTTTGGTGTGAAAGTAAGACCAACCTAGCAGTGTCACCTTTGAGGTAATAAGTCACCCCATGACTGACTGTTCTTAACTTTATTGTAAGAAAACCCATTTGGGTTCATTCAATAAAGCAGGCTTGGCTTGCTCAGGGGGAAATGTGTGGGCTGAATGAAAATGAAGCGCTACTGTATTTTTTGATAAATTAACAGGCAATACCTGCTAACAAAAGGAGTGCTGTCTCCAGTGTGTCACTGAAGATGGTCACATAATTGATGGCAGTGACATCATCTCCATGGCTGCCTTCTCTTTTGTTGCTGCAGCGTCGGGGAGTGAACAGGAAAGATTGTTGCCGTGAAACTTGTAGATCTTTCTTAGTTATGTAATCTTGACTAGAATAAGAATCTATAAAAACGACAGAGCTTGGAAAAGCCTGAGAGGTTTTGCAAATGGCCCAGATAAGTATAAAGAGGCCTCTAGCTTTCAAAAGGAAACTACTGTGCATTTTTGCATTTATTTGAGGGGAAGAGTGAGATTGCTTTAATGATTTTGTAGCATTGCCTCACACCTAAAAGGGAAAATTGTACATTATATCAAAGTTATTGTGATATCGAGTTTAACACTTGTATCTTTAATGTAAAAATTGTAAGTAAATGTATTTTTAAGGGAGATGTGCAGCAGTGCTTCTTAACAATGGAAATGTTCAAGTTCTGTTTGTGATGTGCATGGTTAATTGGGTTTGGATTTTTATTTAATCCCAGCCGCAGATCGTTCAGAGCTGCCAGTTGCCTGGGTAACTGTTACGCCACCGTTAAGTCAGATGTGCTCTAGTGAGAGGCAGGGGGTTGTCCTGCTGTTATGGGAGATCTGTGGTTCCTGCAGGTGGTGGTCCCACTGCTGCCAGTCCATGTACCAGGGAAAGACAATACAGGATTGCAGGAAGGGACACTGCTAAAGGAAGAGTCTTTAAAAGGACTAACTATTTGAAAAGGAAAGAGGTGAACCTTGGGAGCCTGAGTTCTTCATAATGAGTTTTTCTGTAGTCACAGTAAATGTCCTCCCTTTTCTCCCTTATCTTCTGTTTAGTGAGCTACTGCAGCACAGGGGCTGCCACAAGTAGACACAATGGAGATGTGGGTCTGTTACCTCAAGTGTGTGTTGGGTGGGGAGGCCAGGACTTGTAGTGTAGAAGATATGAAGAGAAGGGTAGAGTACAACTGTAGTTCAACGGCATGCAATGCAGAGTATTCCCATGTTTGTTACAGTCTGTGTTCAAAAGGTGTAGATTGAATTCAAGAGGGCGGAACCTCTGGAAGTGTAATGCGGCATGTTAAGTGTGACACGACATGCAGAAATGCGTATGAGATGGGGATATACTGAGCTTGAAGCGGTTAATGCAAGTTCTATGTGTCTTAGGATGTGGGAGGCAATAAAATCACCCAACACAGTTTAAATCTGGGAATGCTGTGTCGAAACTGTAGAGCGCGCTAATATGATCTCATTCATTGTTTACGGTTCTGGTCTTCATGTCACAAGGTGTTGCCTTGAAATCAGTCCAGAGTTCAGCTGAGCTTAAAGGAATTTCCTACACTGACAAGGCTAAGAGAGTCAAACCTTTTTAGTACTGGACAGAGTACCTAATTCAAGTATTCAAGATCTTAAAGTCCTTGCTACAGGGAAGTGCATTTAAGACTCGAAACAGGGGGCACTTTTTACAAAAAAGAATTGGCAGCAGTGGGATATTGTTGTGCTTATTCTAATAGGTGCTGGAAGACTGGGTTATTAGGTACTTTCATTTCAGGATTATTCCTGAAATATTTAATGCAAAACAAAATCCTTTTTTTTTTCTCCAGCCATATAATATACATTTTGTGTTGTATCCAAGTACTTAGTATGATGTGATGAGTGTTCCCTGCCCCTCACACAGATATTGAGATAAATTGTCTAGTTAAAAATGCGCATTACACTAATTCTTCAGATGAAAAGAACATTTCATAATTGGTCTTGAACTTAACTGGCCAATGCATCATTATTTTAGAATATTCAGTTACATTTTATTCCAGCTTTACAGCTAAGCTTTTTGTAATTTTTCTTAAGGAGGTCGCATAGATATAAAACTGCTTGCAGAATGCTGTTGTGAATGAATGGTGGTCTTATTTTAATTTCTGACTTGCTCATGAAACAGCTGTGGTACTGAAACGTGGCAGTTACACAAGGAATCGCAATGCTTATTAAATGAGTTCTTTTCTTTGCAGCTTCTTGTTACCTCTCTCAGAAGTGGATGTGATAACCAGACAACAGGATCAACAGGAAGATAACATGGCTTTGGCTGGCTGCCCGGACTATTTCCTGCACCATCCAAATTATCAGGTAATTCCCACCTCTTCGTCAGTAGTTTGGCTGATTTTTAAAATGTGTAAAACAATCTTTTTTGCAGCGATTTTCTTAAAGGAACTCTATTGCCACTATCCTAACTAAATCTTCCAACATGTTTAAAAAGCTTTTGTCCTTAATGTGTAGACTTTTAGTATTTTAATGCATTGGACAATTACACTGAATTACACTGACAATTACACTTAGGGCGGAGCGGTGGCTCAGGATCTGCACCTGTGACTGGAAGGTTGCCGGTTCAAATCCTGCGGCCGGCAGAGGAATCCTACTCTGTTGGGTCCCCGAGCAAGGCCCTTAACCCCAGCTGCTCCAGGGGCGCCGTACAATGGCAGACCCTGCGCTCTGACCCCAAGCTTCTCTTCCTTTCTATGCGTCTGTGTCTCCATGGAGAAAAGCTGGGGTATGTGAAAAGACGAATTCCTAATGCAAGAAATTGTATAGGGGTAATAAAGAAACATCATTATATATATTATTATTACATTATGAAGAGTAACTATTGTTAACCACATGGTCAACAATCCAAATTTTAGATCAAGAGTGGATCAACTGCTATGCTCTTTCGAGATTAATAGATAACAAAAATGCTGATGTTAGAAATGCTTCTCCATTAAAGTTTAATGTTCCCCTAGCTTTGCAGGAGATAGTTGCTGATCGGTACACCTCTCTGCTATGGGCTCCGGTTTTCTGCAGAGAGCCTCTGTCTCTTACGCTGGGAGCCTGGCAGCACATTTCCAGGTCCAGCCTCTGTCCTCTAGTGAACTGGGGTTTGGTGCTGTGTGGGAAGTCAAAGGTCCCCTGACTAACCAGGGGCCACTCAGCCCTGGCAGCACCCCACTATTTGTGCACCTCTGCTTGGGGGTTACCGAACACCTTTGGCCAAAGAAATAGCTGTAAATCAGGCTTGTGATGAATGGACTTTGCAGGGCTTGGCCTGAGGTCTTAAGCAATGCCTTTACTTTCTGAACCACTTGGGAGCTTTAGAACGACTGTTGGTTATCCCAAACGGTGTGGGATATAGTAACCATATAGTAGATGGTAGTCCTATATAATATTTATTTATAGTGGCTTTCAGTGATGAAATGGAATGCAACAGTTTTTTAATCTTTTTTATAGCAGTTTTTCCTATCTTACTTGTCAGTTGCTTCTGTGTCAGAGCCTGGAATGTAGCTGGAAAATTGGCTATTGCTCATTTGAGTGTGTACCATGTGAGTTTATAAAGCTTTGGAGTTTTTCTTTCTTCTCATAATTAAGGCAGCATGACACAAACTACCTCACCTTTTACATTTTACACTTCTATTTTGTGGAATATAGTCTGAGAGCTTTGATATTGGTCATCCTGGTTAAGAGTTTTAGCTTTTATAAACTATGCACATTTAATTGTAACTTAGATGGAAATTGAATGATGCCTTGTTAAAATGTAACTTTTATTTCTGTATGCTCAATTTTTTTTGCAAAATTGGGTTGTAATTGTAAGTCTGTGGAGAGATGGTTTGAAAAGCTCTATGAAAACATTTTCAGTTTAGAGTTCAAAATGTCAGATGACTGTAAATTCAGCATACTTGATTATAGTTTACGAACAAGAAATCTGATTTCTGTGGAATTTACATATAAGAGTTGTTCACGGTTTTTGAAATTACATCTTGTGCAGTCTAAACATTTCACTAATAGAGGCTTTTTGTTATGAATGCGCCAGCTGAGACAGCACTGCCAGTTAGAGCACTGAGGTTTATGTCTGTGTGCACTGAGTCTTGCAAGGCTTTTAATTGGGCTTTTCTGTTTTGTTTCTGACACTTTAGTCAACTTTTGGATCTTATACGCATACTTCTTGGTGCACCAAAAACATGCCTGAAAGATTATAGATAAGGCAGTGCAGATTTGATAGAATTGTTTCCTTCATGTCTATAATGTCTAGTAACTTATGGGTAAGACTGCTTCTGATTTGACATGGTATTCAAGATTTGTGACTCTGAATGTGTGTAAATTTATAGATTGTTACCATTTTATATCATGAAGAACGATCTTAAAGATTTGCAGTACTTTTTAAAAGGCTGAAGTTTTGGAGAAGTGGAGAACTATATGAGAATTTAACTTACTGTACTGTTGTATATTTATGTCGTAAAATTACCTTCTTCAGGTCGTACACAATGCCACAAAACTGGTTATAAAGACATTTGCAGTCAAAATGTATCTATGGAAAAATTTAATCAGGCAATACACAATTCATAGAAGGTTTAGAAAGGATGCACACCCAGTGTACACTTATTTCCTTCTTGGGCTGTAGATTGTTGATCAAAACATTTTAAAATTCAGCATCAATGGAACTGTAAGTGACATGAATTTTATTTTTTTATTTTATTTGAATGTCAAGTGAGTTGTATACCTCACGAGTGTAGGTTGTGGCCTGACCTATAAGCTCTTAAGCCAAAGCCTACACCAATAAAATACATTGTATTCCTGGTTCTGCAGTCCCCCAATCTCAAGCCTGTCTACGTGGTGCTCTTGTCTTAATTTAACTCGGTTACCTCTACCACTGTTGCTTGTGGTAGATCAAGGTGCCAGATGCTGGGGTTCAGACTTCCCATGGCTTGGTTTAATTCAACCAATTGAGTGCATTCAGCACCAGAATCCTTATGAGCGCATGTGAGCAAGCCATTCCTGTCTGTATATGTACATTAATTGGTAAACTGAGAGTTGCTGTGAAAGCTATCGGACAGCAACTTTTAAAACGGGTTGAAACTTAGTGCAGAAAATGCTTTAAAATCAGTCGGTCGATTCAGGCTCAATACATTTATTTTGAGAGCTGAAGTTGAAATGTAGAAATGAAAACCAGAAGAGTGGTGCTGCAGGACTAGGATTGGGAAAATGCTGGACTAAACTAAAGGATTCATTTTTTTTTTCCAAGTTTGTTTCCACATGTAATCGTGCAAAAAGAGAAATATCAATCACTCCTGTCATGCTTCAGACCTCAGTGTCTCGCTGTGCCGAGGAATGCCCTGTGGGTTAGGACTGGTCGTCCTGCCTGTCCCAGGGAGCAGTGTGGTCGATTTGGCGAGAGGTCTTGCTTCCATTTCCTGCAGTAGAAACCCACCAAGTTCTTGTGAATCCTAAACCAGGAATTAAAGATTCTGAAGTTTTTCTTTTTTGGAATTTCAATAAAAACCACCCCCTTTGTTGAGTTATATAACTTTAGCAAATGTTATGGGGACTCTGGGCCTGTGTCCAGAGTAGCCTTGGAGTGTGTGCCATGGACTGTTGCCATGGCACACCAAGGGAAGCTCACCAGCTCCTGACCGTCTTCACTGGGCTGCTGGACGTGCTGCCTTTTATAAAAACTTGAGTTCCCTAGATTTATGGACTTGTCAGAAATTTATATTGCAGTATGTAAATGAATTACACTGCAGTAAAACTGAAACCTTAACACCGTTGACCAAGCGAGTGATTGATGCCTGAATTACTCATTTATGTTCCATCTTTCCAGTTGTAGCTTGTTCTCAAGTATGTGATGAGATGAGAGAGAGAGAGATCTAAGAATAAAGATGCTTTGTTTTAAAATCCACAGCCCCGGGCTTTCATGCAGTGCATGAATAAACGGTCATGGAATAGCGAAACACTCAGTCAATTCTTCTAGTGTCCCAGTCGGTGCGCCTGTGCTGCCTCAGACTGGCAACCCCTGTGGATCATCTTCCCAAGGCTATTCATTCACAACATACAGACTGGTTGTGTAGCATTACCATTCTCCACTGCATTTTATTGCATGTAATAGCAACTGGAAAGAAATCTCCATGTCTGTAGGGAAATCTTGCAAGTCAAAACAAGAAACCATTTGCAAATTGGCAGAACAAGTGCCCCCTATGCTAATGACGTATCTAATAGGTTGTGAATCAGGTTGTCATTGCAACATTGGAAAAGATAAAAGCAAGCTGCCTGTTAGACGTTTGTGGTTATGGAGATTAGGAAGGTCTTCTAATTTTAGTTTTGAGCTCTCTTCTGGCTCAATTACTTTGTGCCTAAAGTTGTCGAGGTTTGTGTAACTATACAGATCTTTGTGTCCATTTTCTTACCTTGAAAAAGTACGGTTTAGAAGCTATTTCCTCAATTTTTAGCATCTAAACATTAAAGATATTGACCATTGCTGCAAGTTGAAAGGTCAGCATTTTTTTTACATGCTGGATTTGCTCTCTCAGATCAGTCTCCTTACCCTGTTCAGGAGAATCGGATTGTTTGCTGCTTCTTAGATGAGCAACAGTGGGATCTGGTTCTTCCAGCTTTTCTTAAGCCACAGACTGAGTATTATTAGATTATCAAAATATAAATGATGCTGGGCAATAATATTTAAATATTTTAATGAATAGGGGGGCCAGTAACAGGCATTTTAATCATGGACCACTGTTGGTCACATGACCTCCAGCTAAGGAACGAAGTTTCTTTAATACGAGTGCATTACTGCATGGCCCTATTTCAGTTTCCTGTGTTTCTCAATTTGACCCTGTGTTGTTCATACTTATTGATCCTTCAATAAGTGGCTAGCTGTAGTCCCTATATCAGTGAGCTGTTGTCAAGTGAATAAGCATGGTCTTGTCATGCCCCCCCTTCCTGTGTTCATGTGGGTTTTCTCTGGGTGCTCCGGCTTCCTCCCAGGGTGCACTGACATGAAGGGTGGGATCGATGGGATACTCTGTCGTGTTCCCCCAGGGTTTCTTTCCTGGTTCTGGTTCTGCTCACTCAGCCAAACACAAGAACTGGGAATTCAGGGGGGTGATTAACAGAATTCTTGCTAATTTTCTTCCCATTCTATTGTATTTTTAGTCTAGATTGCCGTAGTTTTAAACATTGTAAATACAGCATTTCACTATTTAATAGAGCTAAAGTGCTTATTACATTTCCTGTTCGTTGCATTTTGGACTACTTATATACTGTTCATTAATGCAACACTTGTAGAAATGTGGGTTTATCATTAGAAACACTTGTGTTGATTCTGCGCTGTGATAACCATTACTTCATGTGCTATGAAACAGATCAGTATTCCCAAGGTTGTAAATTTTAGTGTTCGGTTTTATAGATGTTTTCGGAGTGAATCAAGTGGTGAGTTCTGGCAGCATGTGGTTCCTGTTCCTGGAAGTTCAGGTCTGTGTTCTAGGATTTCTGAGAAATGAGAAATTGAAAATGTGGTTTGATTCTTTTGCAGCCATGTGACAAGTTTGGAATAAGTGCTTTAAATTAGAAGCATTTCGAGTGCTGAGTCAAATGTGTTGTGTATAAAAGGACAGTGCCTGTCTGATTTTAAATGTACAACAGCAGGGAAGAAATTTTGGGTATAAAAGTGTTGCCAATTTCTTTCTTATTGTGCATTGTGTTCTTCCTTTCAGCTTTTTAAACCTTAAAACAGGTAAGCACAGCCCTTATAATGTTCATCCCATATTTTTAGTAATGAAGTGAGTGTAGGGGACGAAATCAGAACAATGTGTGCAGATTTCTTTGAGGCATTCATTTTTGATGAATGCACGGCATATTTCTCCTCAAAGCCGTTGATTCAAATAGTCTGTTGATTCAAAAAAATACGTGATTAAGTGGGGGAATCTGATACTTCATAGTGCATATTTGCTCTTTAATCAGTTTTACATTTATTAATTTTCTATAGGGGCAGTATAATATTATGTAAAACTATGCAGTATGCTGTGCACTTTTTGACGTTTAGATAATTCATTGGATTAGCTGTGGGAATGGTTTGGCCAAGGTAGTTAATTTAATTTTCTTAAATAGCAATGTTTCGCTTTTTGTTTTGTGGAATTTTAAAATATGATGAGCATAAGCTCAGTATAATTAAGGAGTCCTCATGAAAAACTGTTACTTACATTTTCGGTTTGCACAAGAAGTTATCGTCTTGTGGCGACTTTGGTTTGGATTAAATTACAGTTGTAGTTGGGGCCAGAGATGATGGTCAGGTTAATATACAACAGAGCTTTCTTTTTCATTGTTGGGGAAGTCATCCTGATTTATGCAATTAGGTGATTTTCCTCAGTGCTCAGGGAGTAGTAATTGAATGACAGCTTTGAGGCATTAGTGGAAATCGGTCCCAGAGTTTCACTTACGTTTGGAACAGAAGAAATTGTGAAAATGTTTGTGATGATTAAAATAACATTTGTTTTTCTCTGCAATATACATTCTGTGTCAGAAGCAATATGTATTGACTTTAATTGATGTGATGATTCTTTTCATGAGTATGTGTAAGCGAGATTTCCTGTGTCAAGTTCTGGTCTCGAAGGTCTGGTGTCTGCACATTCCCATTCTAAGAACGAGCTGAATTAGCTGGTTACTGACTTAACTGAACCCATTGAACAGCTTCTCTCACCTCTATAACTGCAGTTGCTTTAACAATACCTAGGAAGCTTTTAGACACTCCAGCTCCCCAGGGTAGGGAGAGCTCCCCACTCGTGTTCTAAATTCAAAGATGAACGGTGCCGGGATAAGAAAATTCTGATTGAAGCCCACATGTAAGTAGATCAGTAGACAGTGACTTAAATGATTCAATAAATTAAGAATATAAGGAGAAAGGAAGCACTATATAAAGTGTTAAAGAATAGGGTTAAGCATAATTAACTAGTAGCTTGGGGCAGAAGTGCTTTAGAAAGAGGTGGAAAGGAAGATTGCAGAAAAACAGTATTCAAGCACAAAGAGGGCCATAAACAAAGTCATCTCTGAGCTAAAATGGGGGAACTTTTAATTTGTCTGGAAATTCATGAGCAATACACTTGAGCTCTGCTGGAGTGGATTGGATTGTGTTGGTTCCTTTTCTGGAGGACTGGGATTCTCCATCATGTGCTGGTGGCACCAAAGCCATCCATAAGAAAAATACATTTTATTTGCTAATTTTTTACATATTTAGATGGATATCAAAATTAATAAATTAATTTATATTTGTAGATTGTTGCTATAAAGTGCTTCAATACAAGTTGATAACATACAGTACCTTTTATCTGTCAAGGTTATAACTACAATATGAACCATCACTTTGATGGGCATTTTTCCTAGACAAAGTGCTATGTAATTCTTTTCTGGTAATGTGAATCATTTCTATTTTTGTCTGCTATACATCTATATTTGATAAAATAATAGAAAGAGATGAGCAGATGGTATTCCTGGAACTTCTCATTCCCACCAATCTAATTTGTCTGTAAATGTGCTCTCTGGTTTAGTTTATATGAGAATGTAAATCGCAAATATGCATATAGATGCACATTATGGTGCATCATGACTTTGAAAATGACGCATCTACAAATGATCTGAAACAACATTTCAAAGATGCAATGCTTTGCGTGGGCCTTTTCATTCCTGTTTTTCATGCTTTGTGGACAATAACGTCTCTCAAACCACTGTATTAGCTCAAACGCACGTATTGGTTATAAGGCAGATTTGCCATTTCAAAAGATTGTCTGTGCTTAATGGCAGGTACAATGGGTTGTATTGTCTCGTGTTTCCATGTTGTGTTTGTGTTCATCTCTGCATTAATGCTACAGATCTGCTCTTTAGTGTCTATGCCTTCTCTGGTGGTGGTCATCTTTGAATCATTGAGATTCTAGGTTGAGGAGTGCGAGTGCTGGTCGGTGGGTTGGAATCTAAAGAATACGAGAGCAATGTTGGGGTACAGGGCCGGCAGCAGATTTCACTTCACCTCCCCGAAACCTAGAGGGGCAAACGACTGGCGTGGGGGAGATTGCTGAAGCTGGGAGGTGGTGCAGTTTGTGGTGAAGAGCTCTGCTGGGATTCTGTCAGTCTTTCACTGACTCAGGATGAAGTACAGTGCAATGTTTTTTTTTAGATCACCTGATTTGTCTTCAGATTGGAGAAAGGTGTAGATTTGCCTATACTTGTTATGTTTACCCTTCTCCAGAGCGCATCTCCCTTTACTTCACTGCCGTCTCCTTGTTTTTACGTACTGATGCTAGCAGTCATCATACAAAGAAAAATCTAAAATAAATTCATGATGCTGTATTTTCCTAAATCACATTTTGCTTTCTAGAAATGGGAGAACCCTAATCCTATGCTTTGGAATAAATATTTTAAATAACATGCAGAACTGCATGAAAAATGTAGTGCTTTAGATTTCCCCTCTCCCTTTTTTCCATTCAGTCTTTAAAATCAATTCTTTAAAACTGAGGTGCACTTTTTTTGGCTTAGGCTTGATGGTGCTCATTTGTTTTGGGTGAACCGTTTGTAAAGAGCCTTCGAATATGAAAATAGCAGCGACATGGAAAAGCTTTCGAGGAATGCTGCTGAAAATTCCTTCAAACGTTCATTTGTAGTTGTTCAATTAAGCTCTCGTCAATCATGTCTGGAGAGTGCGTGCATCGCGGTGTGACACAATTATGTTGATTTTACTTTGTACTTTGTCCCCAAACAAAGATAAGCATTTCAGATATGATTTAATTTGTCTGCGCTTTTATGAGCAGCTTCGCGTTTGTCTGAAAAACACTTGACCCCCCACTCCCTCCCTCCCCATATCCGGAGGGGCAAATGAGGACGAGAGAACTATTTAATGATGCGCTCATGGATTTACATGCGTGAGGCTCCATTTCTTCTGAAAGCGAGTCAGCTGATCAAGCACTATCAATCTGTAGGAAAGCCGCCAGCCAGTCCTTATTTCTTCACTGCATGTCCCCTCCCAACACTCTGGATGTCCGTTCTTGTTTTCAGATTTTATCTCCCTTCTGCATCTGAGAGAGGTTTGATCCTGGACTGTTGCTAGAGCTCTTCATTGTCATTTCTTAATTGGAATGACCTGGTTTAATTATGGTATTAAAACTTTATAGATTTTGGAAACACTACATCAGAACCTGAAACAGTATCCTTTTTTTTTTAGAAAAGTAATTTAGAGAAGTTGTAATTTTACCCTCATTGATCGTTTTATATGCATAAATGATCAGACAAGTATAACACAAAAACCTTTTTCTGCTTGAAATCTAGTAATACCTCTGGTCAGGTGAGCAGAGCTTAGTTATGGAAGGTTAACTGTAATGCTCTTAAATATGTACACTTGCAGCGAATAAAGTCCTTGATATACATTTCAGACTTGTAATATTTTGGAATTCTTAATTTTATACAATTAATTCAAATTAAAATACATATGACAAAGGAAAACTAAAACAAAGACAAGATATCAAATTTAGTGCTATAAGCCCCTGTAAAGAACAAAAAAGAGCTTACGCTATTGTCCTTATACCAGATACTGAGGACAACATTTTAAATTGAAGTTCAACAAAAAAATTAAATACTTAAAGTGAAAAATGCAGTTTTTAAAGGCTTCCTATACTTAATACACTCTTTACATTAGTATATTAACAATTTTTTTCCATTAAAACTGGTTTAAACTATGGAATCAACATTTTTCTTTTTACCCAGACAGTGATTTGAAAGAGTGAAGCTACTAAGTAATATCTACCCTCAAAGATCCACATCTTTGGGTCATCTCATTTTGGCTGCTACAAAGGACATAGCTGTGCCTTCTTGTCAGGCGGAGGATATTGACAGTCCTGATTCAAAAGGTACTTGCATGTACTTGACAAGTGGCAGATGTTTAAGCAGAGAGGAGTGAACTGCTCAGCTTACCGTACATAACTCGTTTCCAGCTGGTTCTTGCTCTTAGGAACTCATGATCCATTAAAACTTTATAAAATACCTGAAGGCTACTTAACAGATCTTTGGGTTTTTGTGATTATTTACGTTCTTGTTCTGTTGTCTTTTGTTCTTGTAGGATAATGTAGATCGGGCTGCTACTCACAGGCCAGCAGAACTGATTGGACCAAGTTTCCAGCAATCGCCTAATCGGAACTCTCCTAACAATCAAGGTGAGAATCTTGAACACCGCACTCTAGGTTTTGTTACCTTAATTTTGTTTAGTGTTTTAAATAGATTCAACTTGTTGTTTACTTTAATTTAACAATGTGTTTTTTCTCTTAAAGGTCCAACTTTTTAGTGTAAAATCTATTCTCATACCACAAGAATACACATTTTTATTCAATTTTCAGGGTGTAGGGAGATATCTTTGGTACAGAATAGAGGGAATGAAAGTTTTTTTACAGCTTTTACTATAGCCACAACGGAGGAAAATAGGCTTATAATTGCCGGCCAAATTCTGTAACATCACATGATGTAATTTAGTGAGGAACATGACTTCTGCAGTTTCTCCCAAAAATAACTCCCAAAATGTCTGTATAATGCATTTTGTAGTTGTCAGCAACTTAAGCAGAATTGATCTCGGTTATATTGATTCAATTTTCATCTTACATTGGTGTTCAGAAGCAGTACTGAACTGTATAAATTGTCGCCTGTGTCGTAACTATGGTAACATTTTTTTTTTAACGAATTAAGTTCTGGATTACCTTCCTGCTGTGCGAAATGTGCAGTGTGTATGCAAGTCCGAGATAACTAATTTGTTTGTTCTGTGCTGATCAAGAAGGGTAGAGGAAATGAATGGGTATGGGGAGGGTTTTAAAGCGGTAGACTTGCTCATTAAGTGCCAACTGGAATATACAGTGCTCTTCCACAGTAAACATTTCTGCAGTTCAAAGGATTGATTTTGTAAAGACACAGGGTGCCATTATAATTAAGCTTTCAATCTAATTGTACCATAAAGCATCCATCCATAATAATCGGAGCATGAGATTTTAATACAATATTGCCCCAGCATGGGAGGTAAGGCTTAAAGTTTTCTGAGATGTCTGGAAATGTATGAGAAAGCTTGGGGCTGTCATGGAAATTAATGGAGCAGAAATTACATTTTAATTTTTCAATTTTTTGAAGGAGCAATATGAAACGCTTCACGGCGGTGCCTACTATTTAAATTACGGGAGCAGCGAAAGTCCTAGTTATCAGATATTAACTAGAAGTTCCACAGAGAGTTAGTCATTGTTAGGTGCATTTGTGATAAATAGTATAGCTAAAATGCCACACTCTGCAGAATGAATGTATTAATAAATATTCTGTACTCGTCTCTGTGCGATCCTTAATGTCAATTAAAAAGTGTCCTCCTGTTGTAGAAGATAACATGTGCCCACTGTCTTGAGGGCTTGCAGGCATGCTGTGGGTAGTGATGTACAACATGTGTTTATGGAGCTGCCGACACAGAGGTGTAAATCTGGGTGCCATATTGCCGTCATGTGCCTTTCTGGTTACCAGATGGGAAACACAGTGGTTTGAGATACTAGCTTTGTACTATTATTATTTAATTTTGTTAGAGACCTTTTAAGGATACTTTGCTAAATAAACAATCTGTCTAAAGATAATTTCTCATTTGATTTCCCTTTTAACAAAATCCCATCCACTTGTTAAATACTGTGATTAAACCTTTTTCACTTTCAATTTCATATACTGAATCGTAATATAGAGTTTTTAAAAGCAATCATCTCAGTGCTTTCAGAATAATTTCCAGTGCATTCATGGACATTTGTTACTTAGTTTTTATCTTATGTCCATAGTTTTAATTATACTGTAGGTTGACTGCTTTAAGTGAAAACAATTGAAACACTTGTATAATGACATCCAATAGTTCTAGTAGTGACAGTGAATCTTATTTGTGGGAAACTAGTGTTGTTACATCTTCACATTAAGAATAATGGAGATTAGTAGCCATGCCTTGTCTTTGCTGTTACTTTGAGTTCAGTACATTAATTCCAGGAATTGTTGTTCCATTCATTTTCTAACTGTTTTGTCCAGCCACTGTGTATGCTTACCTATAGGTTTTTTGTGGTATCTGTAGTCCTCACATGGGGACACACTGCATGACCTTCTATGCTTCCAGTCATTTAATATATCTTTGGTTTAAATCAGAACTTTCCATATGAAGTGCTCTAGTGCTCTTTTCTTTTGTAATAATGCATTTGATGTGCTCCATTGAGTAAGTGGAAAGTTTTCTTGTGTTCCTGAGTCAGACTTTAGACAATAGAAAGTGTTTCTAATCAAATAAAATAAAGCAGAAACTATTTTTTCCCTCTGAAGTCTTTGCCGCTAGAATAACAGTTTGCATATTGAACACAAATGTTTGGAAAACCAAGTACAGCCCAGTGAATCACTTCCTGAGTATGAGTGACCCTGCTTGGTGTTCTAGTCAGTAGGTGTGTTCACTTTGAGGGCCAGCATTCATTGCAGTCTAGGATGTTTAATGTGAGTGTTTCAGTATCGTTTTTTAATTAATTCTTTATCCCCTTTTGTTTCCTGAAGCAAGCCACGCAGAACCCTTTCAGTTCAGTGTATTGCACTGCTGCAGAATATGTATGGTATAGGTTGTGCTTTGTTTAGTAGAAATTCCAGTAGTATCTCTTGTCTTGTAGCAAACAATCTAAATACTGCTTGAAACTTTTAGCAAAGTTCCCAAGCAGCTTCGTTACTGATGATTTAAACTTTCTTTGGCAAATCACTCTGGGCTGTGATTGTGTATGGGGAAGGACAACTTTATAGGCCCTTTACATCAACAAGGAGTACAGGAAGGAATGGGATCATTGAAAGTGCAGAGTGCTTTGTTTTGATTGTGGCTGACCTCACTTTTTTAAACTCCACTGTTGGAAATGTATTACTTAGCAACTCATGTGTTCAAGAGAAATAAATCAAGGAAAATAGCACATAGTTCGTTTTTTTTTTTTGCTTTGTCTCGGATATTTTTAACTCTGCTACATTCATTTCTTTTGTTAAAATTTCCGTGACTATGAAATGACTATCATAATGTGAAGACTGGAAGTATACTTTGCAGAGAGGCTTCACAATGTCTCTTAAAGTTAATGTGGAATGCACTTAATTGCTTAAAGTTTTGATGTTTTTTGTGGTCTGTAGCAGGTCTGTGGTCTCAATTTACGGGTGTTCCTGAATAATGCCCCACAAATAAAAAAATATGAAGAATTTAGTTCTTAGTTCATGAATAACATACAAATAGCATTTGTACCAAGTCATTTTGAATCTAAATGTTTGAATTTCATGTAAAATATGAAGGGAAGACTGTTAGAAGTGGGTGGTGAGCAGTGTGGAAAATGCATGCGTGATGTACCCATGGCTGCATGCGGTCTTGTACTCTGATCCTTTTAAATGCCATTTTAAAAACTTAAAAGTAAAATTAAAAATCATTGTAATCATTGTTTCCTTATTTAGATTTGGAGCTGATTCGTAGTCAACAATTTTCTGTCGTTTTTTTTTAAGAATGAGATGAACAGTAATAATTCCATACACTTGTATAGCGCTTTTCTGGACACTCCACTCAACGCGCTTTACAGGTCATGGGGACTCCCCTCCACCCCCACCAATGTGCAGCCCCACCTGGATGATGCAACGGCAGCCATAGTGCGCCAGAACTCTCCCCACACACCAGCTATCAGTGGGGAGGAGAGCAGAGTAATGAAGACAGTTCAGAGATGGGGATTATTAGGAGGCCATGATGGGTAAAGGCCAATGGGAAATTTGGCCAGGATGCCGGGGTTACACCCTTACTCCTTTTGAGAAACATCCTGGGATTTATAATGACCACAGAGAGTCAGGACCTCAGTTTTATGTCTCATCCGAAGGACGATGCCTTTTTACAGTATAGTGTCCCCGTCACTATACTGGGGCATTAGGACCCACACAGACCACAGGGTGAGCGCCCCCTGCTGACCCCACTAACACCTCTTCCAGTAGCAACCTTAGTTCTCCCAGCCAGGTACTAATCAGGCTCACACCTGCTGAGGTCCAGTGGGTTGCCAGATGTGTGTTGCAGGGTGACATGGCTCCTGGCAAAGTAGCTCAAAGAACACAGAGACCACGATTTCCCCTCTGCCTTGTCTCCTGCCTAAGCAACAAGGTGGGCACACTCCACCAAGATGCTTGTTGCTTGCTGCGCCCCAGGGTGTTGAACTAAACACGAGTAGGGGCAGCGCTACTTTTGTTAAAAAGCAAGATTAAGAACTTCACCTTTATCATTCCGTATTTCCTTTCGTCATCCGCTATATTATCTCCAATTGAAGATTTAGTTCTTCCACAACATTGATGGACTAGGTTCTGATGTGCTGATGTGCATGGTTAATATTCCTGCTTTGTCCTGTACTGTAAGTGGGATAGGCTCTCCCGCTGTGCAGCCTGGCAGGTGAGATAAGTTGTTTCCAGCCATGGGTCTGGAAGAAGATTGCTGTTTTCATTGTAGCTGAGCTCTAAATATTCAGTGCTGATAGATGACTGACTTGATCCGCTTACTGGTTTAGACTTTTATTTGTGTAGTTCTGTCCGTCAGAAACAACCTGTTTTAAAAGCACTATTGGAATAATTAAGGTATATAAGATATAGATTTGTGACCCTCTTGTTGATCCCTGATTCTAGAACTCTTATCAAGAACAGCTAAAGTGTGGCTTTTATTGTGAAGAAAGGCTTTGATCCTGTGCATATCCTCCATGCTGACTCTGATAAACCCCTGCGATCAACTGATGGGAAAATTACATGATATCCAAGGAGGGCCGACAGTGTTAAAGTATTGTGCTCTGCAGCCTTGAAGTCAATTACTGTAAACATATGGAACATATCTTGGGTTAGGTACTAACAAGATGTAATGATTGAAAGGCAGACAGTGGGCTATAGGCAGCACACAAGGATGATCTAATTCTTTTTGGTTTGTAAAACCAGATACACACGTCTGTGAACCCTTTGGGAGGTACAGAGGTCCTAAATCGGCGTCTTCATTCACTTACTCCAGAGAATTTAATTATTTAAGCGCATAGAATAAGTCTTAAAGATTGGAAGTTAGAATCTAAAACTGATAGGCATAGCTAGAATTTAACTTCTCAACTGCTCTGCATGGTAAGCGATGTACCAGAAGATTTGTAGGTAAGTGTCTAAG